ATTTTCACTATTTTATTATCTGTTACAGAGAGCTCTGTCAGAGCACTGAGAATGTATATTATAATCTTTTTCTCAATAATCTACAAGATTATCAAAAACTGTTTAGCAATATATGTCTGAATGAGTTTTTCTTCACTGGCTAAGAACTCATTATTAATATTAATATTAATGATTTGATGAAGCAACTGATCAATCATACATTCAAAAAGATTATCACTGAGTGAAAAAAGCAGCCTCAGACTGATTCTGTGACTGTGAAAAAGAACAAAGATGAGGATAAAAGTACAACTGTATGAAAGTGCATTCACTGTAAAAGACATGAATATACTGTTAACAGGTGTTTCATCTTACACTCTGATAAAAAGAAAAAGAAGATGAATAAGAAGAATGATAATAAAAAGAAAGAGAAGAAGAATGACTTAATAAGTTCTTAATCAGCAGTAAATGCAGTAATTACAAAGATTAAGTTCTATTTCTCTTTCACAGTTACTGAAAAATCATTCTCTAGATCTTGATATTTGAACACATGTATAAGCCTGAATATGATGAATGAGCTTCATTCTTTTTTAAATATTAAATTTTTTAATAATAACATCTCTGTCAATTCTGTAACTGAGAGAACTGAGTTTATCAAGAAGATTGAAACTGTTATCTTGAAGATTGAGAGTGATGATATTAACTTACAGAATGTTCACTATATTTCTAATATTACAGTTAATCTGCTCTCATTTACAAAGCTTGAAGATCAGAGATTCTGATTTACATTATCTTTCACTATTTTCTCATTTTTCATTTGCAGAGTCTCAAATGATGTTATCTTTCATACAGTTCAGACTGCTCAGAACAACATATATAGAGTCACTGAATAAGAGTTCAATGAGAATTTCAATTATCTGAATAAGGCAGTTAAGTATATCACAATGCCTTATAAGTACAATTTTGACTGAAAAGTTAATTTTTCTGTGACTACTGTTACTACTGTTGATAACATTGATTCTGTGAATTTGAAAACACAGATATCAAAGATATTAAAGACTCTTTTGAATTGATATCACAATCTCAGTCATATTCACACTGATACTATAATTGCTATGATCAAGAATTCTCATACTGAAGTTACAATTAAAGATTCTAAGACTAAGTTCTTTTGCAAGAAATGTGTTAAGACAGATATGATACAAGATTATTTGAAAACACTGATGCCTAGATCTATTTAACTCATTGAGAAGGTTCATATTAATCTTATAAGTAGTGAACATATATTGAAAGACCTCTCTGATCATCTCTTAGAGTCTTATCAGAGAATTAAATACTGAATACTTATCATCTGTGATGCAACTCACTACTGTTGAGTATATTTTTTAAAGTTCAAGAATGAGACTGTTCAATACTTTGAGTTGTGGCTCAGATTCATGAGTAATCTCAGATATACAGTTCCTGCTTTTCTATGAACTGATATTGATGATGTTTTCTGATTCACACATATACACACAGTTATGAATTTGTATGATATTAAATGAAAATTAATAGTATTATATTCATTACATCAGAATGATGTTTCTGAGTGTGAGATCCGCATTATCATGAAATGAGTTAGAGCTACTCTTTTAAAAGATAATCTCTCTAAGAAGTTCTTAACAGATATTCTAGAGACAGTGATTGCAATAATTAATAATACTCTTATGTCTACAGTTCTTTACAACTCAAAATTTTAACTCTCTACTGCAGATTCTTCTGTGATTTCAAGTTCACATAAGATTTCTTAGTGTGCACCTATAAACACTCTGCTGAATGTGAGGCATTTTCACTGATTGAGTGCAGAGATTTTTATTCACTTGCATAAATCTCAGAAGTCTGTGAATAAGCTCTCTTCATATGTCAATTTCTATTATATCATTAAATTCAGTGACATATTAATATATTGTCTATGAAATCTCAAATCTGATAAGATTATTATCAGTAATGATGTGAGATTTCTGATCACTGAAAAATTAAAATCAGCTATATCTGTAATACTCATTAATTATATTACTGAACTGAAATATGACATTTATCTGATTGATAATAAAGATGCTTCTGATATTGATAATCTGAATTCTACATAATTACAGCCTGTGAAATCACTGACTACTTACACTCTGAGCTCTGTTACAGATAATCTTTCAAAGTTCTACAAGAATGTCACATCTCAGTCAGAGAGAATAGAAGATTATTGAAAGAAGTTTATATAACATGAGATTATCAATCTGAAGAGATATAATATATGAAGTTTGATCTCTAGATTTGATGTTCTGAGAAATGAATCAACTGCTTTAGACTGTTAAGTGTTTCTTAAGAAAGACAGATCTGTGAACTTAAATACTGATTCTGATGATGTTCTTAGAAAATCACATTGAGTGATTTATAGTAACTAACTTAAGAAGAGTTCTAGAGAGAAGATCTATACTTCTGTTATCACTAATACTATCAATTGTATTCTTTTTACAATAGCAGTACTATACAGTTGAACACTTTGTTAAGTGAATATAATGATGACATATTTGCATGAGTATCTCACTAAGAAGATCTATATAAGATAACTCACTGAATTTAAGACAGATTCACTGAAAATACTTGTCTGTGTGATTGAGAGTAGTCTATACAGTCTGAATCCTGTAATGAAGATCTGATATAATTACTTAACAGCTCTGCTAAGTGATCTTGAATTTGTAGTCAGTATCTATAATTTAATATCATACATTCAGATATTATCTCTATATAATAATCTATATTGACAATCTTAACATTATATCTGAAGTTTCTAAGAATGCTGATTGACTAGTAAGTATACTTAGTGAGAAATTGAAAGTCAAGAACTCATATTAATTAATTAAGTATTTAAGTATGAAAGTCAATTGTTCTGACAAAGAGATTGATTCAATACATTATCAATATATTAAATATCTTATTAAAGATTTCTATCTTGATAATGCAGCTGTTGTCAGAATATCAATGAAGAATGAATTTTATATTAATAATTCTTCAATATCTGAGAAAGAGACTGATTTCATAATTTGATAATATTAATATAATATAAACTGCTTACAGTATCTTGTAGTTAAAACACATTCTGATATCACTTACACTGTCTCACTACTGACTTAACAGAATATTGATTTAACATCTCAATGTTAAAAGACTCTGTTACATGTTATATATTATTTAAAAGAGATAATAAATTTAAGTATTTTCTACAGATGCAGTCTGTATGAGAAGTCTGTTCTTCTCAATTTCTCTGATAATTTCTACTTACTCTTCAGCTACTCAGATTCTGATTGAGCAGACTTCTTGAATAATAATAAACAATTAATATTCAGCTATGTTTTTAAGCTTACAGACAGTCTGATTTCATGATAAGTAATAAAACAATCTTGTGTATCTCTAAGTTTTAATGAGACTGAATATATAACTCTTATTAAGATGATCTGTGAAGTAATATGAATCTGAAATCTCATAATTAAGCTTGACTTCATTATTATATCTCTGATACAGATTCTTATTAATAATAAGAGTGTCATAGATCTTACAAAGATAACAGTTATTACAGTTTAAAGTAAGTATATTAACACATGTTTTCATTTTTCATATTAACAGTTAAATCAGAGAGTCATTGATTTGAAATATATTCTCACTACTAGATTAATTATGTGATTATATCTGAGATCAGAATCAGAATTTTTAATAGTTTTATTATCAATTTAACTAATCTTATTACACAGTTTTAACATTAAATAGTAGTCTTATACTATCTCAGTGAGACTTACTGTCTACTCTTATTATATTTTTCAAATAAGATTATGATTTCTACTTCTCAATTTAAATTATTTTTATTACTTTAAATAACTTTAAATCTCATTTAAGTATTATCAAAAAGTATTACTTTTTAAAAAATTAAAAATAGTCTAAAAAAAACCTTAAAATGTCTAAAAATAGTAACTTTATATCAAGAATGAAACTAAATGAAACTAAATAAGATCACTTTCTTATTTTTTTCAAGTCATGATTTCATTTTAAGATCTGATATATAGTTACTTTGCATGTTTTTTTAATGACTAGTCCCAGCAGGATTCACATCAAGAAATGTATGAGACCAGATCAAATGAGATTAAATGTGAAATTCATGGTCCCGGCGGCCAGTCTACTCACTGCTTAGATGATAGTGAATGAACTTACTAAACTTCTAGACACTGTAGTGTTTGCATGATTCATGATTTTACTAGGTCTTACAGGTGAAAAAGTCAGAAATGCTTAATTTTACATTTGTATTTGGTTTTGACAGACTATCTTGGTGGATTGGGTGTTTTTGTATGTGATTCTTGTTATCTCGAGGGGGGGTGTTGGCCGTTACGGCCGTTGCGGTTAGCGATCCCACCAGATCATGTGACCCACCACTATATTATGTTCTTGTAGATAGATCTATCAATACAACCTTCAACTATCCTACATTTGCGAGGTCAGCTTACATAACGAGGTCAAGTGACGCACTTAGTGAGGTCAAGTTTTCTGTTTCCTGCTGCTTCCTGGTTCACAGTTAGCATGTGTGAGAGAGGTTGAACGTGGTTGATTGTTGTTATCTAACTAACTAGCAGCTAGTGGAAGCTAAATATATGGATGTGTGTGGGTCACGTGGGTTAGGGCTTGTGTAGTAGCTCCAACACCCCCCCATGCTACGCAGGCCAGTTAACCCACGCAGTCAAAAGCACCCAAATCATTCACTGCAATAAAAATTAATTACAAAAAGTAGAGTCTAGTTTCCTCATAAGGACTAAGCTCCATACATGAAAAATCATAAAAAACATGCAAGAAGAACGCCCAAATCCGTCCTTCCAGTATTGGTATTACCCCCAGTCGTTCTGGCGCCGCGGGATCTCATTCTCATTATTTTTGTGGTTTTTCATTGTCATAGGCATAGGCATAGGTCATCGGCATAGGTCATCATATGGGCAATCGGTGGCCCGGCATCATATAGGCACTGGGGCCTGGCATCGTAGGCACTGTGGCCTGGCATCATGGTCATCGGTATGGGCATCGTAGGCACTGGGGCCTGGCATCATATAGGCACTGTGGCCTGGCATTGTTATCGGTATTTCCATCGTTTTGGCGTCGATATTGGCGGTCATCATGAGCATCATCAGAAGACTTGCTCAGTATTGTAGCATACAGGTGTAGCAGCATCATCATCATTGTCCTTCTTTCTATTCTTTCAATCTGCAGGTCATTTCTCTGGATGTTCAAACCAGCAGCTTGATTCATCATGGCCTTTCATCTTGCAGGCAGTGCATTTCTTCTTGATGTTCTTATTATCCTTCGCGTCCTTGATGGCATCTTTGTTATTCTTTGTGGCATTGGCGGCATCTTTGGTGTTCTTGGTGGCATCATCACAGTCTGCCATATCTTCGTGTTCTGAAGAATTATCTTGGGATTGATTATTGCGTCATCTTCGCGCGGTTATTGGTGTTGAAAAGGATCCAGCTATCTGATTCTCTGGAGTCTCTTCGCGGTTGATCGATCTCATATTGACGGGCATTTGATATGAAGTATTTGAATGAAAGAAGCAGCTATTTGAAAAGCTTATTGTATGATTATTGCATGGTTATAACACTTCGTAGAAGTGCAAGGGCTTCATAACCTGTGAGAGAGGTTGAACGTGGTTGGTTGTTGTTATCTAACTAACTAACCGTGCCATGCTTACTCACTCTCTCTAGTGAGTGCGCCACAGTGTACAGAAAACCACACTGTACAAAAAATATTTTGAATATAGTAATCTTCAAAAATTAATTAATAATCATCATCACATCTATCTATAATATAAAGATTATCTATATACTCATTAGAAGATGTAGAATTCACTGTAGATTGAGATTCTATAAAATTATCTTATTATAATTAAGTAACTATAGATTTTATAGATTTGATTTTAATTAATCAAAGATTCTTATTAAATGTCTTTTTCATCTCATCTACTCTATGAGTTGTGATCTTGTAATTGACATTTTTAATAGTAAGAACTTCATCTACTTACACCTGTCTGTGAAAGAATTTAATAACTTAATATCTATTTTCTTAATAATAATCTATAACTTCATTCTTATAGTGTGTATTCAATTTCATCTGAATTATACTACTCTTAAAGATCTTATTCAACTATCTTATTAAATCAGATATAAGAGTACTCTTCACATCTTCTAAGATCTTGACTGCTCTATTAATTTAATAATATAGTTTTATAACTGTCTCTGAAGAGATTAATTATAAGAAGACAGTTAATAGTTAATCTACAGATAATAAGATAAAGTAATTATATATATTACTATTATTATTATATATGTTGAGATTTAGAGTATTATCAATGATAAGAGGTCTTAACTAATTAAAAATTATATTATAATTAACTGAATACATTCTGCAGTCAGTAAAGTCAGCTCTCACAGTATCAGATTTAAATACTTACAGTTAAATACTCTTCAAATTAATAAGAAATTATCTGTTATTATACTACTTATATCTGTAGTAAGTGATTTTATTAACTGTCTTTATATAATAATACTTATACTGCTGAAAAGATATATTATTAAGAGATTATAAAATATGACTTATATAAGATAAGAATTTGAATAGAATAATCTTATAAAGATTACAGTATTAAATGAATTCTTCTATTAGTAAAAGTGATATAATAGAGTAGTTGATTAATTATTGAGATCTACCTATTATACGGCCTTTTATATGTGATAGGCATTTGCTAAGTGATCAGTGAACACCTCACTTATACAGAAGCAGTCAGTCTGTAGAGAGAGAATCTAATACCTCTCTTAACTGCTACTTCACTAAGTAGACATTTACAACTCAGCAGAGCAGTTCTATAACTGAAGAAAGAATATTATATATAAAAATAGTAGTGTCTTTCATCAAAGATTTTGCGGAGGACTAACAAGAATTCAGAGTATAAGAAAATAAAGAAAACAGTAAAATAAATGAATGAATGAACTACTATAGAAGTAGCAGGCTGATAAGACTCTGTATCTATTAAGATATCTTCAGAGCTTTTCTGACTGTAGATGTTCAAATTTCTAAGTTAATCAGAGTATCTTTATAAACTTCAGCTATTAAAGCTTTTGTTAGAATATTCACAGTTATACTAATAATGTCTATTTATATGATTTTGATAATGCCTGCAGCTGCAGTATCACAGACATGATGATGTTTAATATTAAGATAATATACATTGCAGATGACCTTTTCACTGTTTACTACAGTGATCACTGATTACTCTGTTATTATCAATATATAGAGAAACTGTAAAATTGAGAAGTAGAAATTCAAGCTTTATAAGTAGTCTGTGTAGCCAGATTACAGTTTTGAGACTCTTAGAGATAGATATGTACTCTGCTTCTATAATACTCAGCATCACAATCATTTACTTAATTAATTTTCATATAATTAATCTATCAGTGAGACAGATGAGAAGATCTGATATAGATTTACAGTTGCTGATGTCACCTGCTTAATCAGAATCTGTAAAGACTTCAAAGTTGAGCTTTTCTGCTCTGATAACATAGTGAATATAGTGATCAGTTGTGCTGTGAATATAGTAAAAGAGTCATTTGACTGCAGTTCAGCATGCTTGTATAGACTTACTTGATTAATAGATGAGTTTAACAGTTGTAAAAAATATATCAGAAAGAGTGTATATAATAAGATGTTAAAGTGATTCAATGACTTACTGATATTTGAACTCATCAAGAGATTTGAGATCAGAGAGTGAGTTAAAGACAGGTTTCATGAGAGTTCTTACAGTCTGAGAATCAGTTATTTCAAATTCCTTCAATATTGATTTAATATAGATGACTTGTGATAGCTTGATATCACTGTCATTCTTCTCAATCTTCATGCTTAAGTAGTAATTTACAGGTTTCAGATCTTTCATTATAAATCAATTGATAATTTGATAAAACACCTGTTCAATAATGTTCACATTGAGATCTATTAACTTAACATTATTTACATAGAGAGTGAGAAATATCTGAGAATCTCTTTTAAATCAGAGACTCTCATCATAATGAGAGAATTTGAAGCTGATATTCTTGAGATGACTTATAAGTAGGTTGAATCACAGGTAGAGAATCTGTTTGAGACTGTAGAGAGACTGCAGAAGCAGGCATATATAACTAGTATTATTATCAAATTCAGTCAGTTACTTTATGTAGAGCTGCTTATTAGATAACAGATCTGCATTCAGAAATACTGTGATGAAATCAACTTGATAAATATTTCAACTTTTCACTACTGTCACTGTAAGTATAGTGTGAATGACAGAAGCAGAGATGACAGAGATATAGATATCATTGAAATTAACACTCTTTTATTAATGAAAGCTCTGAACAACTCATCTTATCTTATAGAATAATATATCACTGTTTACATCAGTTTTAACATGATAAATTCAGTGACTGTCAAGAATCTGAGTTTTAACAGTTAACTTATTCACAATCTTGAAAATTTTATACTCAGCTATGAAGTCAAGCTCTTTCTTTATAACAGCTATTCAAGCATTCTTTTGCAGAGATGCAATTATCTTCTTATATATTTACAGAACTTTAATTTCTTCAACAGTCTCAGAGTCTCAGCACACAGCACAGATCTTGAACATATAATAGAGCTGAAATTCAATGATGTTGAATATCTTCAAGATAATAGAGTTGAAAGTTATGACATTTTTTCAAGATCTTCTGTGTCTTTTTGAAGTTATAGATGACTTCTCACTAACTTTCTTTCAGAGATGTCTGACTTTGTGACCTGTGACTGTAGTAACAGATGAGAAAGAGATGTTCTTGACTGATATCTATACAGAGAGAAACTCTTTCTGCAGAGATGCAGAGATCAGTAACAGATTAACATAGAGATAATCATTACAGATAAGAATGTCTGTAGTCAGTGTATAAGATATATCAATTGTATTATAATTATCAAGCACTGAGCTCACTAGCTGTGATAGTGTGACATTCTCATTGAATTTCACACTGCTGAATATGATGACTTCATCTTTTACAGAGTTTTATATTCTGTATATCATCTCACTATAATATTCAATCAGAATTATTCATTCACTGTATTCAGTAAACTTATTATAATCTTCTCAGAAACCTTCTTTGAGAATATGAACAGGTGATTTAATCATCTGTAAGTCATTGCTGTGCAGAAATAATCTGCCTTTTCATACTTTATAGAGAATTAGTAGAATTCAGTTCTTCAGTTGAATTGTATCTGAGAATAAGAGAGTGCTTGTTGAGGCTATATTGATATACAGTATTGCTGTAAACACAGTCTCTGCTCATAGCTTGACTGATAGACCTGCTTATATCATTATAATGTGAGCTTTTGAGATAATAGTTTGAATGAACTGTTCTGTAATATTATCTTAGTTAAGAGTATAGAGCTCTGTTGACTCTCATTTGACACTGAATTCAGTGAGAACTGCTTACATCTATTGATCACTTATTTCAGTGACTCTGTCAGAATGTGCAAATACAACTTTTATATTCAGATTCTGAAGATGTTTAAGATGGAAATTAATAACATTCAGCAGCTGATCTTTGTTCTTGAGAAAATAAGCAGTTTTATGATATATGACATTGTTCACTATAAAGAGTAGATATCTGTAATCTTGAAGAGATGAAGAAAAATTATTAAGAGTGCTGAAGAATTCACTATCTTCTATAATATCAAAGTGCAGACAGATACTACAGATGTTTTTTCTTATCATAGAGATCTGTGAGATCTTCTTCTTAACTTTCACAAGTTTGCAGGTCTCACAGAACAGCATTTCAGAGTCTCTCTTGATTTTAATATTAGAGATGAGGTCTTTCATCAGTTATTAAATATCAGTGATGTTCAGATGTTCTAGATGCACATGCTATGCAAAGAGTGTATTATTATAATTCAGAAGTGTCTACACAACTGCAGCTAGAACAGCTTCACAGATACTGTGTATAGAATAGACATGATAATTTGTTTTCACAGTATAGAAGTATTGATTATATTCATCAATTATCTCAAAATCAATGATGTGATCATTCTTATCTCAAAGAAGGTCAAAGTCAAATCCTTCATTAATAAGCTGACTGAAGCTTAAGAGATTGCAGAAGACTGCTGATGAGTAGTGAACATTTTACAAATTCAATTTCATTTCATTTATATGAATACAGATCTCATTAATATTAGTGAGTATGATTAACTCATTATTGATTTCTTCTACAGAGTCAAGTTCTTCTTTGTTATCTAAAGTATATATATATTTGAAGACACTTCTATCAGATGTCATAGTGTAAGAAGCTGCAGTGTTTAAGTATTATAGAGAATCTCTATAAACTGTAGTAGTAGATAGAGCTTTTG